GGCCAAGGGCCATACATCCTCTAGGGCCACATGACTATGGAGGGTAGATAGGTGAGAGCAGAAAAGCAGGAGCCAAGCCAGATGAACAAGAAAGAATTCCTTTGTCTAGGGATTATGTATTCCCAAATTTCCATGGGCCCCACCACTCTAGCCAATGACCTTAGTTCCCAGGTCAGACTGACAGACACATATTTTCCCTACGTCAGTCCAACTTTACTTTGTATACGCCGGCCTTCCCCTTTGTCCGGTCCCTTCCCTTATCCATTTGCAGGGAATAGACCCGTGGTTCCCTGGGAAGAGTGAAATTGCAGCTTCCAGGTGAAGATGCCCAGATGCCCATGCTTATAATGTCTGGTTTCCTTTTGCTTCCTATTATTAATATTAATAACTAATTACAATGGCAACAAAACTATCCTTTACAATTTTCTTGCAAGTACCAGTGTAAAAATCTTTTTAAAAAATGTGTTAACTTTAGAGAAATAGGAAGAGAGGAGAAACATAGACGTGAGAGAGAAATATCAATCAGTTGTCTTCTCCATGTGCCACAACCAGGGATCCAACCCATAACCTGATATGTGCCCTAACTGGGAATCAAACCCACAGTCCTTTGATGGGCCTGAGGATGCTCCAATCAACTGAACCACACCAGCAGGGCAAGAATCTTAAGCTTATCGATATTTTATTTTGAAAGCTATATTAGACCAATATTAATGGCTGAAAATCTCTCTTAAACTGTTTTAATCAAATAAGCAACAATAAAGCTTACCTAATAAGTACTATACACAAATAATCAAATTTCTTTAATTTTTATACATTAATGATGGTTTCCATTTAAGATATATTAGTTTGATTACCTTTGGTTTTAATCACAAATGAACATGGAAAATATTAGGGGTTAAATATTAGGAGTTCATAAATTCTCCTGTTTCAATAATTTATTTATTTTTTTATTTTTATTTTTTTAAATATATTTTATTGATTTTTGTACAGAGAGGAAGGGAGAGACATAGAGAGTTAGAAACATCGATGAGAGAGAGTCATCGATCAGCTGCCTCTTGCACACCCCCTACTGGGGATGTGCCCGCAACAAAGGTACATGCCCTTGACCTGAATCGAACCCGGGACCTTTCAGTCCCCAAGCCGACGCTCTATCCATTGAACCAAACCGACCTCAGCCTGTTTCAATAATTTAAAGCAAACCATTACATTTGGTGAAAGGTGATGTTTAGTCAATTTCCTAAAGTTTACCAAGTGAAAACATTTAAAGTTTCAGTTGTCATTTAAGTTTCATTGTCCCAAATGTATTATGGTCATTAATAGCAACATACAGAAATGACCCACAACTTGATCACTCTTAGTATCTTTGTAAGTTTCCATACAAATGTAATTTCTTCTATAAGTGCTAAATTTTAAGAAAGTGATTAAACTAAGTATTGATGGAAATAGAGTTGGAGAAGGACTAAAAAATTCTAGATATAACCCAAGAAGGGAGAAGCAAAAGAAAATTTTCAAGATTTATATTCCACAAAGGACTATTATCCTAAACTGTATGCAAAAGAATGCTAGTACCAATTGTTGCTCCATAAATGTTTATAAATGATATTCATAGACACTGAATAATTTTATTTTTAAAAAAGCCTGAGTTCTGCAATTGCCCCCACCTAATATATCTACATTTTAAAAAGTAACTTTACCCAATGTTTTCAAAAGGTATTTAATCTCAACCCCTTCTTCTCCATTAACAGTGGCCAAGTCAGTATTTTCATATTAAATTCTGAGAAACTATGTAAATTCTTAGTGAGGTGCCATTAAGGACTCATTCAGAAGTCATATAGTAAGAGAAATCTTGCAAGGCAACAGGTATAAAACTGCTCAGAAATATTTAAGATAATATGCAAGACAGATATGAATACAAAATGCAAACAATGTAACAAAAGAATAGAATACCAGGTGGTTGTTAAATGGCATTACAAAAGCATCAGCTAAGTAATTTATCGAATTACATCAGATTATTTCTCCATTCCTATTGCTATTGCTTCATTTAAACCCTCTTCACCATAGAAAGGTGGTAAACCTTCTTCAATATAGTCCCAATCTTAATATGTATATGACTCACTCAGGGATCATACCTAAAATGCAGTATGATCTTACTGATTTAGTAGGTCTAAAGTGGGGTCCGGAATTCATTTCTAATAAGTTTCCAGGTGATATTGATGCAACCATACTTGAATAACAAAGATCTAATCCATTGTGCAAGCCACGGACCTATTACTTTTCCTAAAATACCACTTAACCTCATGATACTGTCTCAGAAATCTACATTAACTTAGTGAATCCTATATAAACATTTACACTCAATTTTACCAGAGCTTCATTCTGGACCAATTTGGTATTTCTCCTAAAAGTTATACTGATTCCAACCAACCCAATTCAACTTTGCTTTTATCTTTGTTTAAGGTACAATGAATATATCATGAAGTACAGATTTTAAATGAACAACTAATTCGTTGAGTTTCCATAAATGTACATACTTGTGTAACCAATACTCTCCCAAAAAGCTATAGGAAGGACATTGCCATCACACAACCCCGTTTTGACCCAGCTTGGTAAATAACCCTGCCACCTTTCCACTGCCTCCCATCTATCCTTTCAGTCCTTCCTTCAAAACACGCCCCAAATCCACTCATAGACCTCTATCTAAATTACTACTGTAACATTTCCCCCTCATCCATGGGGCATATGTTCCAAGACCCCAGTGGATACCTGAATCTGTAGATGGTAGCAAATCCTATATACACTGAATGGCCAGATTATTATGATCTCTGAATGCATAATAATCTGGCCACTCAGTGTATATCCTCTATAATAAAAGGCTAATATGCAAGTTGTACCCTTGACCAGGAGTTTGACCAGCAGGCAGGCCGACCAACTGCCCATGTCCCCTCCTCCTGGCCAGACTGGCTGGACCACACCATGCACAAATTCATGCACTGGGCCTCTAAATATATATATTATGATCTCCAAATATATATATGTACTGAGTGGCTAGATTGTTATGCGTCCAGAAATCATAATAATCTGGCCACTCGGTGTATAAGTTTTTCCTCTACATTCACATCTTTTCACATACAGGAAGCACTTTCTGAGTTCTCTTTGGCATATCTCAATTACCAGCATCACTACTCTAGCCCTTTGAATACAAGTACTGAGATACCATCATGGTGGACCTGCTGAGAAGGCTAAGTGACTAACAGGCAAAGTGCAAACAGCGTGGATATGATGCACAAAGAAGGATGATTCATGGCCCAGGCAGGACAGAGAAGGGCAGTATGAAGTTTCATGCTACTCATAATGGTGCACAATTTAAAACTTACGAATTATTTCTGAAATTTTCCATTTAATATTTTCAGACTGTTTGACCACAGCTAACTGAAACCATGGAAAACAAAACCCCAGATAAGGGGAACTACTGTACTTTCACGGATTTGGCCATCATCTCCAACTAAACAAATGCAGTGAGCTCCTCACAAGTCTCCCTACCTCTGTTCTTACCCCACCCCAAAATATTATCCAGAGCATTCAGTGATCTAAAATTATAAATCAAATCCCGTCACTCTCTTGATTAAAAACCTCCAAGGGTTTGCCATCAAAGCTGTAATAAATCCAATGCCTTTTCCTATATTTCTGTATCACTAAGCCCCTCCTTTTTTTCCAATACTTCCTGTACTCTGATCATATGACTCTTCTTTCTAGTCTTAGGGATCTGCATTAATTATTATCTCTTCTTCTCCCCACCACCTTTCTATTAGGTGGCTCGACTTTGAAGTTACCTCCTTACAGAAGCCTTCCCTAACCACAAAATCTAAAGTAGACACTGAGATTGTCTAACACAAGTCCAACTTTAATTTTCTGCATAGCAATACCTATTGTTGGCATCTATCTTATTAATGTGTTTTATTCTCACAAAAAAAAATAAGCCCCATGACAATAAAACTTGTCAACAGTGCTCACAGCTGTAACTCAGGCACCTAGAACGCTGTCCAGCTCATGGCTCAACAAATGTTTGCTAAATAAATGTTATCACATGATATACAGGGGTATATACACACTTTGAATGATTATAAAGTTAGTGCTTATTAACATACAGTTCATTTTCAAAACTTAAAATAATCTATAGAAATGAATAGTTTGTTTTTTTTTTGTCATTGTCTGTTTTCAAACTGATGACTATTCTGGTCCAGGCACTGCTGATAATGTGAAATCACAAACATCAAGAATCATTTCATTCGGTATTTGCGTCCCCTCCGTTTGTTGACTATTCCCAGTTTTATACAGTAAACTTTACCTTTTATGTATCCCCATAAAAAAGGCTACTGGGTAAATTTTCTTTGTTCAAAGCTTCACCCATTATTTTAATCAGTTAAACCTGAAAAGGAGTGAATATAAAGTGAGTTATTAGCTGTTAAAGTGTATACATTTTTGGGGACACAAGGTGTATACAAAATGTACACACACTTTGAATAATTATAAAGGCAGTGTTTGTACTTCAACCACCTTTTCAAACTCCCAATAGCATTTTAGGATGAATTTCCTTTGTTCAAAGCTTAGTCTGGCTGAAAGAAAAAGAAACATCAATTGAGTGATCAGCAGCTACTGAAGAGTGCATACATGTTTTTGGGACACCCTGTATGTACACACTATGCAGATGGAAACTGTGTCTGTGTTCCAATACAAAACTTACCATAAAATTTTAAAGAGAATAAGAAAGTTATTGCTAGTTATCAAGCTAAATCTTTCACAGGAAAGAAATGGAAAAAAAGAAATGCAGTTTTAATTCAGGACAAAGTAATATAAAATACAGATTAAGTCAAAGTTTAATTCACATAAAGTTTAATCAGTCAAGTTAATGAAAATATCAAAATTTTTGAGTTAGTGTATGGCAGCAGAAATTAAATTCTTGTTGCAAATAATACAGTATTTGGTGTTCCCATTATGACAAACTATGCTGCAGAAAGAGCAATTGCATTGAATCTCAATTCATCAGGGTCACGTTCCATAAACTTCTTGCAAACTTCTATGGCATCCTATAGGGATAAAATATATAAATTTTCAGTTTGTAAACATGTGTTTTATTTGCAAATCATAAGTGCTTCATACTTTCTTCAGTTGTACTAATGTTACACTGCACACTTCTTTTTCCAAATGAAGAATAACTTAAAGCATTCCAGAAGAACGAACATTTCGTGGCCTAGTCCAAAAGATGCAGTAAGTATTCTTTCTTAAAATGCTATTAAGAAATTTTTAACTTGACAATTACATTTCATTAATTCTAAGCCACACAATTTGTTCATAAATTTAAAAATCTCTAAAATCAGGATCAAGATACAAATGTCGATTATCTTGGATTTAATGATATATGGGATACAAAGAGCAACTCTTTCAAAACTATTCTTGCCTTTTCCTTCTTTTTTAAGTCCTCACCCAACCAACCTATGTATGTGCCCTGACTGGGAATCAAACCTGCAACCTTTTGTGTATAAAACGACACTCCAACCAAATAAGCCACTCAGCCAGAGCAAAACTATTCTTGCTTTTTTCAAATGCTCTGAATACTTCTTTATTTGCTATAGGTTAACACTAGTTCAAATTTCTCTTTTTGGATTTTTCCAAGAAAGCAAAGACAAGGAAGTATCCAAATATAGATAAAATGTTATACAAGTGATTTTTAGAGATGTTTCAAAAATAACAAGAACATTAATAACACTTAAAGTGAACCAACAAGTTTCCCTCTTACCTCTAATAACGTTTCATCACTAGTTTCCCCATGGTTAATTGGAAATGGTTTTCGTCCATCTATAAAAAATAGACAAACAGTTGAATGTTTAGCAGTTTGTACAAGATAATGTACTTCAACTTCCACTTTCCTCCTCTCACAGTGAGGCAAAAATTAATGATCCTATCTAATAAAGATGGAGTATGCTAATTGACCATAACTCCACAACAAATACGGCAGCACCCACAGCCAATAAGGAGGGAATATGCAAATTGACGCAACAAGGCGAGAGGCGGAAGGGGGCTCCGGCTGGAGCGAAAGCCGAAAGGTGGTGGCCAGAGCAAAGGTGCTGGAGGGAAGCCGGTGGCAGCATCCGGGGGATGGAAGGCCTATTCTTGCATGAATCTTCATGCATCGGGCCTCTAGTATTTAAAATAACATGTTCTAAAACAAATATTTTAAATGTGCTACCTATGAATATTCTTTAATATTAAGTTATTAGATTATAAGTAAAGTTATTAAAACCTTGCTTTCATGTTTGAAAACCTAAATTATCTTCATAAACATAACTTACTATAAATATATATTGGCTTGATTTAATTTTCTTAAAAAATATGCAAAATTAATGTCAGGTGTTTTTTTTTTTTTTTTAAGTTAGGATCTGTTTTTACCCTCAGAAATATGAGGGGGGAAATTATTTCTTCACTTTAAAAGTTAAATCAGAAGGCTTCCAAGTAAAATTGACATGTTTACATCAACAAAAGGGAGCCACCCCAAGTTTTATATATTATTACTAATTATGTACCCCCATGGAAGTAGTATAAAATAATTATCTAAATAAACTAGGATTAATTTTCTGGCCAGGAAAAATAACTGCAACTATAGTCACTTAAATAAACTAATAATTTTTCAACACTATGAAAATGTCTAAAATTATATAAACTCATGCTACCCAAAGGAAACTGATAACTCTACACAAAGTAGGTTTACAAATGTTCGAATGGAAAATATTAGATTTATTAATAAATAATAATACAAGAGTAAACCTTGTTTTTCATACTTACAACTGTAAATTTACTTTCGCCCCATCCTGTGCATCAAAATTTATAATCTCAGATGACTTAGAAGTGGCACTTCAAGTACAATTCATAAAACACAATCCCTTCTATAACTCTATGGCTTCTAAATATAATACAATTTTTAATCAATATGTATCTGTAGTAGTAAACTTGGACTAATAGATACTACATTTAAAGAAAAAATATACGCAAAAATTAATCAAACAAACCAAAAAATATGGATAACTAAAATTTTTTTTCTAAATATCTTTTCGATGTTATTGTTTATTTTATTACTAAGTTTTTTTATCCTGAAAGTCATCATTATCTTTTAGTCCTTGGTTATGGATAATACGTATAGTTTCTCTGGCCTTTTCTAAATCTACTTCCTTAAAGTCAATAGAATGTGCTTGTAAGTCTCAGCACTCTTATTTCCATTTCTACTAGTAATTCCTTATTATTCAGAGAGAAAATGAAGTTTCCAGAAATCAGTCACACAACTAAAATCCCCAATCACTATTACACCTTATTTCTATATAAATTTTATAGATTGACTTAGCAAATGTAAAATTTAAAGAATAAATTAGTGAAGCTCTGAGGTCTATTATATACCCCCATAACAATTTATTTTCATTTTAGTTTGATACCTACTCAATCGTTTGACTATAAAAGACAACCATAAATTTTTATAAATATTATGCTATCTCTTCTCCTTTTCCCCTTTAATAGAGCAATTTCTTTTTAAATAGAGTGATTTCAAACACAAAATCCATCTAAATTTTATGGACCTCATTTGCAGTTGAGTCTGAGTCCTTTCAAAATTCTCTGTCCTTAACTTACATGTCTATCAGCTATGCTGTACACCTGAAACTAGTACAAAAAAGTGTTATATGCAAACTGTAATGAAAAGATTTTTGAAAAATTTAAAAACTGTTTTTAAATAAGAAAAGTAAAAGTGCAAGTTAATATTGAAAAGTACTTCACTTTGTTGTTTCTTTATTTGCGGCGCCTCCACCCCCCCTTTTTTTTTTAATACAAGAAGGTCTCATGGAGAAGAACAAGAAGGACTCATAAGTACTAAAGTACTATATATCAATTATAAAGGAGTCATAAGAAGTTCTCTATCTGAATGAAACAATTAAAATTATGAAGATCTCCATATAGTCCCTGAAATAATCTATAGAAAACTTTTTAAAATCTAAGTGCATTTACAGGCCAAAATACTAAGTAATTAATCATGCATAGTTTGACATATGCCTTAGGAAGATACCAGAAAAGAGAATCTTGTAAAGTCTTTTAAAAAGTCAGATGTAGCCCAGCAAGTGTGGCTCAGGGAACCAGGCAGGAGATCATGGTTAGATTCCCAGTCAGGGTACATGCACAGGTTTTGGGCTCAATCCCTGGTTGGGGGTGTGCAGGAGGCAGCCGATCAATGATTCTCTCTCATCATTGATGTTTCTATCTCCCTCTCCCTTCCTGTCTCAAATCAATAAAAATACATGTTTTTAAAAAGTCAGATGTAATACAAAGAGTTAGTACAAAAGCCTGAAAACTAGTAATACTCATTGCCAAATATAAAAACTAGTCATAAATATTACACTATGTTTTAAAACTAGTTTTAGGATCAAAATGGCTTATGCAGATATTGATGATCTCTATCTCAATAATTTAGTAAAAACTGCTGGAGTGATTTACAGGAGTTTCCTATAATTTACTTTACTGCTTTGCTAAAATGTAAAGGTGGTATGCAAACATTCTTGAATTGTAAGTTGCTTGAACACCAAAGAAAAATTTTATTTTTTTCTAGTAAAAAGTCTTAAATAAAATACGTTTATGCCGAAACCGGTTTGGCTCAGTGGTAGAGCATCGGTCTGCGGACTGAAAGGTCCCAGGTTCGATTCCGGTCAAGGGCATGTATAATACGTTGGCTGCGGGCACACCCCCGGTGGGGGATGTGCAAGAGGCGGCTGGTCGATGTTTCTCTCTCATCGACATTTCTGGCTCTCTCTCTCTCTCCCTTCCTCTCTGTAAAAAATCAATAAAATATTAAAAAAAAAAAAAACACGTTCATTATGCCAATTCAATGCTATAAGGCAATCAATTAATTTAAGTAAATAATACCAAAAATCCTATTTACCATAAATGTAGACTTTTTCATTTCCAATTTCTCTCACCAGAGTAAATTTTTAAAATTCTTACCTAATTCATAGAGATGCCCGTCTACGTGAACTAATGCAATAAAATGAAGATCTACTTTTTCATCTATATTTGGTGCCTGCAATAGGAGGAAACATACATATTACATATGTTAATAGTCAAACAAATTAATCAAGTACATGTAAACACATACAAATATCAAATCACATCAGAGAACATTTATCCAAAATAATTAAATGCTTAACCTTTGATATAGTGGACAATGAGTAAATATGTTTACATTTATAACAATGTGCTCACCCATCAACAAGAAAAATGTCAATTACAAGCACATTTTTCTTAATCTCAACAATCTAAATACCTAAAGCTTTGTTCACCTTCAAAGACACAGCACTTCACATAATGCCTGGTATATAGTAAGTGGGCAATGTATACTTTTCAAATGAAATGAATGCATAAAGTGATTTGTCTAATTTTTGAAATTTGAAAAAGAAAATAATTTACATTTTAATAGCATAAACAGAGTTTTAAAAAACTCTTTTCAAGTTTTAAGACTTCAAGAGAGTGAGTTCTCCCTTTAATAACTTGACCTTGATAATAGAACATAAGGAGTTTTAGAGTAAAATAAGTATCTTTACTCATCCTACATTCAAGAGGTTTATAAATGAATAGACGCAGGAAATTAACCCAAAAAGTTAAAGAGGGAAAATAAGGATAAGAGCAAATTAAAATACAATTAACCATAGCCTATTTTTCTCTTGCTTTCTTAGTAAACGCTTTGAAATTAAAATTATACCCAGATTATTTTGCTTACCAAATTCAATTTTCATGAGCAATATCTGATACATTTGTTAAACATTCAAGTAACTTATGCAAAGTCAATACATGATTCACTGACATTGTCTTTAATACACAGTAACTACACAGTTAATACAAATGTGTGTTATCTATTTATCAAATCTAAATGGTGTGAAATGAAGTACAATCAGTGTTAAATGCAAGTACAAATTTTAGAGACAAAGTTTTCAAAAGGTATAAATCAAATTACTTCTCATATTACATAATATCCTGTAACACAATAGTAGCTTAACTCTAAAATGCATATTTTTTTTTACTCATTAGTAATTACATAATTTTAAGTAGTAGTAATATGAAGTTTTCAGATGCAGAAATTAAAAGACATAGAAGAAACATTATCTTGGATTTACTGAATGCTCTTAAAACATTTACAGAGAGAATGTCTCATGTAATCTCTCATTATTGTTCAGAAATTATTTTCTTCAAGTTTATGAATGACAGAACAGCAACAAAAATGGATGCGGCAAACTAACTCTTCCTAACTTCAACTTAGAACAAAAGAATTCCAAAGTTGGTAGCCATCAAAGTCACCTAGGTAACTGCTGTTAATCTCCTCTCTACCACAGCCCATACTTCTGGTGGGCCCTCCAACAGGGAACTCCCCCTGGGCTTTGAAGCAGTCCATTCCATCTTTGACAGCTTTGTTAGAGTTATCCATCATACTGAAACTAAAATTTGTTTCCCAGCGTTTTCCATCCTCTTATTAAGAGTCTTATAGCTCCTGAGCATGATGTTTCTTCAAATAATTAAAGATAGTGATAATGAGTTCCCTTACTTTCCTGGTCAGAGAATCAAATGTGTTATTGATTGCTCAATCTAATACCAATGACCAAAAGAGAATTCAGTTTTTCAAGGCTAAACATAGACAATTCTACAAATGATAAGTTCAATTCTATAAAAAATGCCAGAAATAATTTTTTATCCAACAAGAAAAGAGTCTGTCTGGTTCTCTCATTTTAAGATATGATTATCCAATAGGATATCACGTATTTTAAATCTTTTGATCTATGTTTTCAAAATTTTAAAATTATTTTAACATTTCTTTGTAAGAATATTGCATCTTATAGCTTCCATTTTTCGTATCTTGCCAGTAAATACAACTGTGCTAGAGATAAAAGTAGTATAATTGGAGTCAGAGATATGAATATATATACTCAATCTCTGTAAACACTGATTTTGTTATCTGTTTTGAGGTCTAAATGAAATGTATTACTTTGTAAAAAGTTAAGTGATACTAACCATTATGTATTACTATAATATTAATACTACATTACCACAAAATATAAGAAATCACTAAATCTAGTGACTTAAAATTGTGTGTCAGTACTTGCTATGAACCTTTTTCTTTGGTCTACGTGTAATCTGAAACCTGCAATTATTAGTTGCTTAAAAACCTATAAGTATTCATTGCTTAAAAGTGATTCCACCCCAAAACAAGAATAAATAAAAAGCAAATTCCAATAAGTTTTTAATTAAAAAAAATTACGAACATATAATAAACAAAGGACAAAAAAAAAAAACAGAAGCTATAGATTTGGATCATTTTTGCCTACACTTACATATATTATTTTTTAAAGTTTCCTAATTTAGAATAAAATACTTATCTCAAATAATTAAAAAGTAATATAACAAATCAACTAGACAGAAATTAAATACTAAATAGATATTTTAAATTAAAAAAGGTATGGTTGTAACTTAATAATTATATGGTACTTAATATATATTAGGCACTGCTCTAAGTGCTTTATATGTACTAACCAATTATCATTTAAACCCTGCAAGGTGGGTAATATAATTATACCCATTTTACTCTCAAGAAAACTGAGGCACGGAAGCATTAAGTAACATGTTCTAGATAACAAATCCAGGAGTGTCATTCTAGAATTTGTGTTCTTAACCACTAGATTATGAAAATATTTATGAAGATATAAAGCAATGGAATATTGAGCAAAGATCAAAATTATATAAAAACACATAAACCTAAAAAAATTTTTATAATATGCTCATTTATATTGAGAATAATGTTAAGTACAAAAGAATTTATTCATATTTAGAATCAATTGTGTCCAAGTTAGACTTTACAAAAATTAGGGTTTTACTCTGATCATTTAATTCACCTTATATCTCCTGCTGTACAAATTGGCACAGTAGAGAAACAACAAATACGATAAATGAATAAAAATGACAAATACACACTGTGACCCAATGAGGATAATGAAACATAGAGACACCAGTTTTGTTGACACTCAGCAAAAATCAAAGGCTCTTTTGATGACCATACTGATATTTGGAGGAAGCAGATGATTAAAGGAAAGTGCCACGATTCCACTTCATAATTTGAATATAGCTCTAGAAGAGTAAATAAAGGGAGGAAAGAATGTTTGACACCAACTTTCTTTTTAAGCATTAAACATTATGTGTAATCAGACTTCCTCTGGCTTCGAAAGTCATGATGATTTATAGAAGTGTCAAGTTTCTTATAAATGTATGGCATATACCAAATCTCTCAGATACAACATTTCTAGGTAGGCTCAACCAATCCATAGTCATTGCCATTAACAGTCTAAAACATTAGAAAGACAAGAGCTGTAGTTGCCGAAACCTGCAGTTTATTTCAATTATGAAAATAATTAGAATTCCATCATCAACCTCAACATTTAAGAAATTAGCAAGATTACAAGAACATATACTCACTTTTAAATAGTTTGCTAATATCTACTTAAGAAGGAGAAATTCTAAAATTTGTGGGAAGCCTACATCAATTCACAAGGAAAAAAATCTTCGCCTCTTACTTAGAAAGATGTTCTTTAAACTGAATGGGCAGGGAAGATTGGATCAAGATTAAACCAAGTACCTGAGCCACCTCAGGAAAAAATAGCTTAAAGGAAACACCCTACACCAGGAAGTATTAGATTAAGGATAGAGTAAGTAAAGCACCCCAGAGCATGACAAGAGCCTGAAGTAATGTTCAGAAACATGAAAAAAAAAAAAAAAAAAAAAAAAAGTAAGAAATGGTATAGAACTCAGAAGGTACACAGCATTTGTTGACCTGAGTCAACTAAATGACATCGGAAAGATGAAGGGTAAAAGAATACATATTCACTTTAACAAATGACAGGAACTTACACATTATCATGAATGTCAATTAACACTCATCAAAAGGCAGGTATTCTCACAGTGGTAGGCTATGAAGTGGAAAGATGGACTTCACCAAGGCATTGGTGAAAGTCAAGCTAGACTGCAAAGCATAGAGGTATGCTTACAATCTTATTGGGAGAGAAAACTAGTGGCTGAGTGAACCAAGAGAAAAGCTTTTTGAAGACTGAAGAAGTTTAAGGGGGAAAATGGACTGCCCTCGTCACTGGAAGAAGAGATGGAAGATTGACTACACTTACAACAGAATGGAGACCCAAAGATGGTAGGCGTAAGAAGGGTCGCCAGCGACGAAGACGGAGAGATGGACTGGTAGCCTTTGCAGGGTCTACATGGTTACGTTTGACCCAGGGCAGGGATGCATGGTGACACAATGATGAGGCCTTCGTTCTGCAGTGGCTACAATGAGGCTGTGATGAGGATGGCGAGGAGGACTACATAATTAAAAAAGAGAACATTTTACTTAGACCACGTCACCGGGCGATCATTTATTTTTAAAAGCAACGTATGGTCATATTTGTATTTATATGGTCTAGAACTTTTAATCAACCATAAATGAATATTGGTTAAAAGCCAATCAAGGTATCAGGGTATATGCCATAGGTTCTGTAAGTGCACATCTAAAATATTTACATATATTCATATGCATAGCAGACTGGTGGCATTGATTGTATTCAAATTCTATAGGAACAAAATATAGGCTGCAATTTGTTTGATCACTTTAATAAAATCTGCCATAAAGTTTCTTAATTGGACAAGGAAAATAATACCTCTTTTGTTTTGTTGTTATTTTTTTTAACCTGTTCCCTTGAATATATACCTAAGAATTTATCCAGGGCCATTTGACTGACTTGAAATCCAGGGACAATATTACACATGTTTCCTGGAGGAATGAAATACTACTAATCAAAGCCTTCTTTTGGAAAAACAAACAAAACCACTCAACTTCTTATCCAGCTAGATGTTCCATTATAAATAGCATTTTAGAGAAAGCTTGATAAATGACAGTATAAGTTGAAAGTGGAACAGCATGCATCAAGAAAGAAAAGAACAATCGACTTGAGAGGTTGCCAGCTCTAGTCTTGGTGACTTTGGGTAAGTCATTTC